TTTATTTTATATGAATTTGTTAAATAAAATTATTATGATTGTATGTTTTTGTTATATCATTGAAACATGCTGCAGAGACTGCAACGTAAACTAAATGCAATAACAAACTCACGCATACATCTATGCATAGGTGTATTAACCAAACCGACAGTCATTTATTGCAATTCAATTATATTGACAAACCAAGCACTTATACAAAACTAGGGCAAATATTTATTTACCCTCTGGCCATCGAACAATGACTTATGATATGAATTTTTATGAATCATTTGTGACATTGTGAAAAAGTTGTAAAATATCCTTATCAGCGTTAGCTTTCTTTTGGCTACTGATCGTAGTTTCACAAAATCCGATTCATTAATTTTTTATATGCTAGTAGTAGTAGTTTTGCTTGGGAGAAACAGAAAACAGGATTTTCCTTTGCTGAAAAGTCAGACGATCATGTCGCTGCTGTGTGTACTGTATTTTGCCGCATTCAAAGTAATCCTCAAAGACTTAATTAATACTCCAAGGAGAAAATTCATAGCACACAACATCACGATAATCGAAGAAAGCTATTAAGGCCACCCTGATCTTTGAACGACTTTGACGCGGTTTTTTCGGTCTTGGCTCACCTTTTGTACGACATTCGCCCGGTTGATCGGCTGTTTCAGCGCCTTGTGCATAAATTTAAGTCTTGTTACCATCGTGCAATTGAACTTGAATATCGGCCTTCATTATTACACACATTACACACAGTATTATATATGTTTTTAAGGAGCAGTAAATTCGATTCTACCTGGCATCTGCTTATTTTAGCATAAGTTCAATATAAAATAGAGCAAAAAAATCTTGTGATATAGAGCAAAAAAATCTTGTGATATCTTCCGACGTTTTCTCCTTCAGCTAAGGAGAAATTCTCAGTCCTCCTTAACTTTACCATTACATTATACCACAATCGCTGCTCTGTTTTTCATATGTCGAATTATTTGGCTATGATTGATTATTCATTTAATTTAGTATAGACTTTGAAAAATGATTGAAATTAATATGAAAATAGTTGTTTTTAAGCATATTATGCCAATGAACTGTGACTTGAATCTAAAAAAACTACCGCTTTCTTAATCCTATGTCAAGAAGAAAACCTAAGTTCGTCGATGCACACGCTTCGTATGTTCCTGTAAATAAGCTTCAAAAACATGCGCTGTACACGCTGTAATCATTGCAAGGCTTTGCCTAATTTGCAGACATGTACATTTAAGTTAAATAAAAATGACTGTACGTTTTCAAATATTTCTTTTTTTTTTTGGTCTAAAGACCAAGAATAGCTAGATCTGTTAATTGTTTAGCGTTCAGTAACTCCAAACTCGACCTTAATCCCCTACGAAATAAAAACAATCCTTTGCACAGTCATTTCGATATGCCTACTCTCGGTTCAATAGTAATCCGTAACAAATCCAAATCTAAGAGGTTTAAGAGATCATCAACCTTTCATCAAAGTGGTTCTTCTTTTACTTCAACTTGCTTTTGCTTTTATAAAGACATTTGCGCGCATGCTGGTGTCTCACGTAGTTTTTGCTGTTTTTAAAAAAAAAACACATAAGCCAAACCAGATATAATACAAAGTAACTTTGAAAGGAAGGACATTTTAGATGATTTATGCCGAGTAGAGATGTGTAGAAAGGAACGGACTAAAACATACGAAGAAATAAATTCATTACTTTCAGTAATAGAGGCAAATATTAAGCGACTCCTGTAAAGACTTGAAAATATGAAAATTTAGAAAAATGCAATTTTTACTCAAGGAAATTTCGCACATGCAGTAGCCTATGCCGAATATGAGCTAACTCTTTTTTAGTGTTTGTCTATTTCAAGCACAAATCTTCGCACATTTGCCAACTAATGAATGACTTATTCACGTACTGCTGAGTTTGCAATTTTTTCTTTTCTCTTTTTTTTATTTTATAAACAACTTTTTCTAATTGAACAAATATGTATTCGGTATCAATGAAAGCAAATAATGACAGAAAAACTCGGAATGTAGTTTAACAAAAAAGCAATTATGAAGACTATGTTCATGTATATGTATATATATATGTATATATATGTATTGTATATGTATGCGTATCTTCGTTACCTTTGACTTTGCACAAATTTAAATTAATGGTGAACAAGTCAACGGGGATATGATGTGCGTTACTGCGCACCTACACTGAGCATGTGATAATTTTCGATTCAAATTGGCTTTGCTCGCATCTTGCCACCAATTTTCACTCATAAAAACAGCTACTGAGTGAGTCAAAGAAAAAGGTTGCAAAGTTGACTTTAAAAACTCACTGTGAATATCGATTTCATTCCCAGACATTCTGCAGTGATATCAAAATGGCTTTACAAGAAGGAAAGGCAACTATTTTCAATCAGTTGAAGTTTCATCGATGCGGTACAAGACTTTATTAAGTTTGTGGGGATATATACAGATTTGAGCTAGACCTACCCGATATTATGACGATCAATTCTGAAAGTGATTCTGAGCTTGTCTGCCTGTCTATTCATCTAAGGAATGTCCATTCGTTGCGTTTGTTCAATCCACAGGTCCCTATTTTTAAATTATCCTTGTGTTTTACTCAAAGGACTAACACTATTGAAAATGATTCCCATCGGATAACCTTTTCGACTAACTCCCGAGTGATGCCTTACTTTGAAAAGATATTAACCTAAATCGTCGTACTAAGGTAACGAAGTATACCGTATTTAATGGTGGGCCGTGGACCACTTGTTTAAACTATAAGAACATGAGTGAATCAGTTCTGGTGAAAAGACGCTTTTTTCATGGTTTATGAGTTCAAATATGTTTTAAGAGATTTACAAAAGATGGCATAACCAGCATTAAATCGCTTCTAACCATTTGGTAACCGCATTCAGATTGAAGCGTCCTTATTGGAAATTGGGTTCCGAATGAACTCAGCAGTCGAAAGACGTTTTTTCTCGTACGAACAACTATTTTAAAGTCAAAATCGGAAAAGTTTTTTACATTGAGTCGTGATGGGACGCGCGAAATGGATCCACTACAACAATCCGAAACCCAGAAAATCTTAAACCTGGCGATGCATCAATTTCAACGGCCGAACAGAATATTCATGATCTATCTACAGTGAGCTAATCCAGCCTAACACAAGAGAGAGAGAGAGAGAGAGAGAGAGAGAACGTCACCAACGACAATTGCTGCAATTGAGTTAAAAATTGAAGTTCAACGGTCCTTAATGTGATACGGGATATGAAAAAATGATCTTCCAAGAAATTATGGAGGCGCTTCAATAAGATATCCTATCCCACCCGCCATATTCACTAGACGTTGCTGCTTCCGAGCAGCATTTCGCTTCTCGCAAAGAAGATAAACATTGGGTCGATTTTTGGCTCATCTCAAAAGAAGAGAAATTTTTTCAACGCGGCACACATGCGCTATCGCTACTAACGATGGACAATATTTGCAATAATTTGGGTCGCCCCAATATAACTTAACGAATCTGCAAAGTTGCAAAGAAAATCCCTCAAGACTTATCCTACATTTAAAAGCGAGAGGGCATTACGTGTAAGTACATACAACTTTACTTCGAATTCGATACAATTGAAACCCAATAGGTGACCATATCAGCTTTTCAATTTTCATGCACGCATATCAATTAAAAAACATCAATTTGTGTCGTCTTTAATGAACTTGCCGTAGCAGCACTAATAAGAGACTAATCGCTATATCACTGCATATATGAAAACTTGCTATTGGGAATTTGCGTTAATTTGAAAGGAGCTTCAAGAGATATTATAGCGCATACATACAATATCACATTGAATAATATTGTAGCGAATCTTCATCAATACAACTGCTTTAAGTCTTGGGAGTTTGGCTCGAATGTTTTTTTGCAACTTTTGATAGTTTGAATAACGTAGTGAAAAATCCCATATTATGCTGCTGATTGCCGCTTAAAGCCATTGATTGCCGTCAGCTGCTGATGAACAGTGAATACACGATGATAGTTGTAAGCGTGCATTTATTCTCTGATTTATAGCTTGTTTCAGCCCAAAAACTCATGATCCGCTTAAGAGGGACTTCCATTTTTATGATGATTAGAGAAATGATATGCAAAACTAATTTTATACAAACGCGAAAATGACAACCTACCAGACGGAAATGAAAAATGCGCAAAAAGGAAAGATGGCAACGGATTGTATTTTTAGTGATTACAATTGAAAGCCCTTCCAATTAGTGCGCTCGCTCTCTCAATAAGTATAGCAAACAAGATGTCAAAATACCAAAAAACTCGCTGTAAGCCGTAAATATCTATGAAAAAAGCAAAAACCTAATGAATTAAAAACAAAGGAAAATGTTATCCTTTAAGTTATCCTTCACTTGCTTCGTGAAAACTAAATTTCTCAAAAGTTAAATAAAGATAACTATTTATTGGAAATTTTCTATTATATGCGATACGACTACGACGATTGCGTAGCATCATGTCTACAATGTAGGATTTTCTTGTTGTATGTTTTTTTTCAAAACATTCTCCAAAACTTACCTAAACAAAGCTAATGAAATGAAAGAGTTTTGTAAATATACAAATACATATATATATATATATATATATATATATTTAGTCATACATATGAAGGATAAACTTTATTACATACAAACAGATCCCTAAACATAGCCAACTAACTAACTAGCAACTAGCAAAACTAATGCCTGGCATTTTCAAATTCATCGTTATGCCAGGCAAGTTTTAACGACACAAACTCTTCGCAGTTTGATTTTGTGTTTAATTTTTGTTTTTTTGTTTTTTGCTTTATTTTTTTTTCAAAAAGAAATCCATACAAAATATTCTTACATACATACATAGGTATATGAGCAATAAATACCTAACTGCATATATGGATACGTGTATACACATGTGTATATAGATGAATTGTGCACTCATACAAATGCGCAGGCATTCACAGCGACAAGTACACGTAAGTGAAAAGTTACTTACCTCTAAGCAAACAGGACATTCCAATAATTGGGCAATATGTTGCAGGCAAGTTGCAAACTTTTGCAACGATTGCTGATTAATGTTATGCTGCAAGTACAGAGGGAAAGAAAAGAAAAGATAAACAAAAAAAAAAAAAAAATACAACGCACAAACACAAACCGAACAAATCAAAAAAGAAAATAAATAAATAAAAAAACTTACATTCGAGTAAAACTTTAATTAGTTAAGGTTAGGGTTAAAACAAACCGGCAACAAAGTTAATGCTTTAAAGTCAATAACACTAACAACAACAACATCAACAACATATCAAAACTTTTTCCTTAACCACTAAAATTTTCGGTATAATTTTAAACGCCTCTATACATACAAAGCCCCCCCTCTGGTCCTCTCTCTCACCTCTCTTACTCATACACACACACACACACACACACACACACACACACACGCGCATAAACACAGGCACAAATAACTTGCCAATATAAAGAGAGAAGAAAACGCGTTAAGCTCAACCGCAAATTAATCCATTTTGTTATAGCAAATTTTATACCCAACCAAGCATCTGCAATTGCTTTTAAGCCTTTAGCTAAGGTATTTTTTACATTGAATTCTATCGAATTTCCATTAAAATCAAAAATCGAATTTTTCTAATCCCCTTCTGCTCATAGGAGCATATAATTTACATTTCACATCCCGTTAGCAGCACTTGATCACGGCAGCGCACGCGAACAGAAACGCGATTAAAGGCAATTATTACGATTAAGTCGATCATCTGAAGCCTTTTTTTGCTTACATAATCATTGATTAAAATGATCAGAATATTTCACGCTACTTATTATATTATAATAAGTAAATACACTGCCTACTGATATGTTTAAGAGCTCGGCTATCTCAAACAACTTCACTTTACGGTCTTCCGTGTGCACGATTATGTGCATTTAAAATTATCAGATCACCCAAAGATTTATTTTGTCTTCCACTTTAAAAATAAAAATCCCATTCCATCTTCAAAATCATTAGACGAAGTACGCGAATTGTGAAAATCCAGGCGAAGGTGAATTTAGCAGAAAACATATTTTCAACTCTCCCAAGTGCTTCATTACGTACGATATAGTTAAAGCGAGAAACAGATGGCACTGACCTTTACTTTTAAAGATCTAATTATAGTGCCTCAGCAATATGCTTAAAATGTTTCCCTATTCCTCATTTACTCCTGAAGCTAGATTCTTTAGTTTACTTAGCCCCTAATATTCCCGAAAGTGAAATCAATCAAGTAAAATCTGTGAGATGGATTCTTCGTTGGCCGGGAGTACGTCCGTCGGACCCAGGGTCCTTTCACAAGATTATTCGTATATGCGGACCTGAACTAATGTACTACTGTTATCACTGACGTCACTATATCCTATCCGCAATTAAATTTTAAACACTTTGTTGGTATGAAGGAAGAATCTTTGAATTCCTTACTCCGCACAATATTCTATAATTTACAGTTTAGGCACTTTCTTGATATGAGAAATGAAGCGTTCCGTTAGAATAATTAGACGGAGAACAAAATGGGCGCACGCTGACGACACCTTGAATCTTGAAGTAAAGCTAAGTGTTTCGCATAGAAGTTATTGCAAATCCCTCCGTCGACACGTGTGTTTTGCTTCGTAGCCTAAGTGGGAAAAAGTAAGTTCCAGACCTATCGTCCCCAAAGAAAAACATGGTTTACAAAAACGGAAATCACGCTTTTTTGGTCAAGGAAAAGTTGACATTGACAATCTTCCCGGATCTCAGTTGAAATTAGATGCTTTCAAAGCCCATTACCCATCGTCAGTCGACGTCCACTAATTTTATTTTCTTAATTTAACTTACATACAAACGAAAGACATGTGAAAACAAAGGGAGGGTGCGGCTTTGCTTCCTGACAAACCACAACAGCTTCAACGTGCGTATTACTTCTGTCGCTCTGCCATTAGTAACGTCCTGGAATATGCACCAGAAAAACTGTGAGAGTTAAACTAATCATAAGGAATCGTCCTCTCAATGTGGAAAACACGGGTCATATCTTTACCATTTAATTTCGTAAAAATCGCAAATACGACTAAAATATGCGAAGACTTGAAGAGTGGAAAGCATGAAGCTTCCGGGAAAGCTTAAAAGTTTTCAATCGTAGCCGATCGCTTTCGAAAATTTAAAATTTACAGATATTGCAAAAAAATATAGTGCGAAATTGTTTCTAATCGGTCGTTAACACTTTCGCAATTGACTAGCATAGTAGAGCGGGAGAATATTCATCCCCCAAGGTAATCAGGAACTCTTTGTTTTCTATATATTTACTATAGGTGCTA